TCTGACAATATGGCAAATATTAGGTTGTCAAGAAAATAATGTCCGTTTTTATTTGCTTGCTTTAACAAAGCAACTACACTCAACCCAACAAAGGATTAGGGGTACTGTTCGATAGAGCAAAGCAAGCTCTACAAGATGGCACTCATGTCTTTGCGCCATGCTCGATCCACGGAGAGTTCGAACTCAAAATCTAAAGATTTCCAAATGCCCAAAAAATCGAAAAAAAATCAGATCTTCGTCCAAATAATTTCTACGGACCTCCCACTCGCTCACATCAATACTATCGATATCTGATATCCATATGTGCGTTTCCGTATTTTTTTCCTTGACTAGAAACTGAGAAAACGAAAATTTCTCTGATTTTCTCAAAGCAAAGCTGAGCCGTTTTTGCATATGTAATTCTATACTACAAGCCTAGGTAAGCATAACTGTAGGTTTTCAGCCTATTTCGAGCGGTACTTTTCGAGAAATGTCGATTTTAGCACTGAAACTGAAATGAAAAAATCTGAATTCGTTATTTTTCAAAAACTACCGCTGGGAATGGGCTGAAAATCTACATTTATGCTTACCTACGCTTGTAGTATAGAACCACATATGCAAAAACGGCTCAGCATTGCTTTGAGAAAATCAGGGAAATTTCCGTTTTCTCAGTTTCTAGTTAAGGAAAAAATACGGCAATCGCACATATGGATATCAGATATCGATAGTATTGATGTGAGCGAGTGGGAGGTCCGTAGAAATTATTTGGACGAAGATCTGATTTTTTTCGATTTTTTGGGCATTTGGAAATCTTTAGATTTTGAGTTCGAACTCTCCGTGGATCGAGCATGGCGCAAAGACATGAGTGCCATCTTGTAGAGTTTGCTTTGCTCTATCGAACGGTACCCTTTACCCTTTGTTGGGTTGAGTGTAGTTGCTTTGTTAAAGCAAGCAAATAAAAACGGACATTATTTTCTTGACAACCTAATATTATTGAATCACTTTTGATCGCATACATATTTTGTGTAATTATTATTCCTCTGTGTCGTTACTATTTTGGCATCTCACAATCTATCGTTATGTAGTTTTAGATACATGTTGCGTTATTTCTTTATTGTTTACTTACCTTTAGTAAACGGTCTAATTACCCAAGTTTGAGTTGAGGTACGCATCACCAGTCACCATCACGAGTCAGCCCGCGTGGCATCTATGATTATCGTTGATATTGAAAGTTTATCGTTCTGAACTTTAGCCAAAGGTACTCAAGCGAAGTTTAGTTGTTTTTATCAATGGCAGGTGCAGTTCTTCTGCACTTGTGTCGATGAAGGATAGTTCTGCTCCTGTGTCCAACAAGACCGCGATTTTTCGTAAAGTTTTGGTGTTTGGATCCATCACCAGTAGTGCCCCGTTGGGGAAACGTTGGGTTGGCTTTAGGTGCTTGCTTGAACGAATGCAGTTCGCATACGGCGGCCGATTCCTTTTTCTTTCCCTTCTTCGCTTGTCTGGTGGACTTTTGTTGAAATGGGTGTTGTGGATTTGAGTTGTGGTGGGTGGGGCTTTTCTGTTCTTTGGGTTGTGGGTGGGGACCTTTCTGTTCTTTGGGTTGTGAGGGGGGGGCTCTTCTGTTGTTTGGGTTTTTCTTCTTTTGGTCTTCGATACGTATTGGGCGTGTTTTCGTTCGCTTGTCCCTTAAAGCAGCATGAAGTGTGGTGGGGTCCTTGACACACAAAACACATTCATTTCTTACAATCCGTGGTTATGTGTTTTGGAGATGCACAAATAAGGCAAAGTTTGTGCTCTCGTAGATATTGTGCGCGGGATTAGGGTGTTGTGTATTTGGTGCATGCTATGGCTTTATGGTCTTCTCCACAATACATGCAGTTGTTGGTCCATCGGTTGATTCTTCCTTCCCTCTAGGAAATGCCGGGGATACAAGATGTTGTTTGAGAGTCGCTTCTCTTGTAAAAAGTGACACCTTTTCTTCCGTAATGATGAATTCTTCGAGAAGCTTGAGGAGTATTTCCATGCCAAAGGTGTTTTCTGTCTGTGTATATCTGCGCTCTAACACCTTCTTTGCACTTTGTTCGAAAACTTTGAAAGGACTTGTTTGATCATGCACTTGTTGTCGACATGTTCATTTTTTTTCTTGTAATTGTGCCACTATAGTTTGAACCTGCTCCAGAAGTTTGCGCTGATCTCTAATGGATGATGAGTTTAAATGTAATCTTTCTAGCCTCTCATATAGTTGATTTATTAATTGTTTCTGTCCCCGTATTTCAGTATCAGGAAAATTACCGCTTTTTCATAATTGTCTTGTGGCACCCTAAATTTCTTTACTGCTTGAAGGGGTTCTCCTCTTAGAAAACTGATCAAATAGTTGAACTTGTAGAGGTCAAGTAGAGGTTGCGAATTTACGTATGTGTCGAATAGGGTTCAAAAATTATCCCATTCCCATATATCTCCATAAAATGTTGGTACTGGAAGTGTTGGTAGTTCGATTTTCCTGACCCCTATCGCGCCCTCTGATTCGGCGTTATTGTTGCTTGCTATGCGCGGCGCTCGTGCTCCCTGGTATGACGTAAATGCGTTCAATCTACCTTTCAAGAGTACAATATAATCCAGAGAAGAAAAAAGTACCGTTTCTACCTTGTTCGAGTACAGTTCGAAATCATCTAATTTTTTTTCGCTTAATGATCCATTCTTGTCTAGCGCTATCGCATAATTTTGCAAAGTTTCTTGTATTTTCGTGTTGCAAGTCTCAATTGCCCCATTCCTTCTTCTAACAGGTACGCGTCACCAGGAGTCAGCCCGCGTGGCATCTATGATTATCGTTGAATTAGAGGATTATTGTTCTAAATATATACCTTACCCTTCAATTCAAAGTAGACAGTCTCTCTATTTCCAGCTCTCCTTTGAATTCAGATACAAAAAATCATATCTAGTTCCAGCATCAGCTGCTTTTTATGCAATCACTTTGAGCTCCATTTCTGAAAGAAAAAGGAAAGCTAGGAAAAAGAGACGTCTACGTTTAATGGCGAAGTCTTGCGCTGAAATAAGGTTAGGCAACTGGGCATTTTCAGCCACTCATGAAAATTTCTTGACAAATCCACAAATATTTTTAGCTAAAATGCCATATATAACTGAGTAGAGGGGAGCTAAAGAAAAAAACACTACGTCGAATGCTTGTTTCGTGAACTTTCTAAAGGTCTATAGGTTGTTGGGTTACAAAAACTAGTGGCTTCTCAAAAATGAGGTGGACATATTTAGTATTAACCTTGCTTCAATCCGCTCTTGCTTTCTATGAGTCGCCGGAGCAAGGCTTTTTGAACTGAAGAGCTTTGTACGCCAACACTTTGTATACCATTCGATAGCTAAGAACACGAGGAATCGATTTGGACTGTCTTTTTCCTAAGTTTCTGTGAAGCGAAATATGAGCAGTTTTATTTACCTACAATGTCAGCCAATTCTGAGTAATTACCTCTTCAAATCAAGACGGTCTTTTTCGAACTATTATATAATATACGATTCGAAAGCTTGAGAAACAAGTAATCTACCAGCTCTTTTGAGTGTAATCTCCAGAGGAAGGAATTATGGTACGATTCTTGTCAGTAAACATGCATCCGTCACTAGCTAGTCCAGATTTTCTACTCTTGCTCAACTCTTTCTTGCGACAGTGTGTATTCATTGATACAATGTTAATAATTCAAAAATCAGACATCCTTTTGATTTTTGATTATGTTTCGTTATCAACGCCACTTGGAGTGTGGAGTCTCAAGCATGCGTTTTCTCAACAGAACGCTGTTGCTCCGCTACTCTCTTGCAGTCTTGATGTCTGAAAAGAAGAGCAATTGGCGTCGTTATGCCTTTATTCTGGATTCAACTTCAGATGAAAGGAGTCAGCCAGATGCCGCCCCCAAAGTGAAGGGGGTCAGGGAAATTTCTCCACCTATCGCATCTATGCCCCCTCCCCCTCCCCCAACCATTCCCATATCATGATGAGGAGGTCTTCCCATAATCTGTTTCCTTCACTATCTTGTGAGGGATGTCTGCTTGATATTCCCTGTTGTATGTCATTTAAGATCCCCAAGTCATTGCTGCAAGACTCCTTCTTTAGAACAAATCTTTTAGCGACAGCCCCAGCAATATCAAGTAAACCTTTCCAATTAAGACAAAAAAGTAGTTCTCTGGAGGTCCTCGCCAAGATATAGGACGTCAAACAGGCCCCAAAACGATTTTTCTGCAATAACTTTCGAGTGAATGAACAGAAATCAATAGAGAACTGTGATTAGATCCTCCTCTTCTGGAGCCCTGCGAAAGCGAAGCATAAACGGGATGGTCACATCATGAGAAGAACAGATGACTGGACCTCGTCAGAGTGGATCGCGAAGCACAACGTCCCCCTCCAGCAATATGGGCAGACGTGTTCTTGAAATGGATGGTCCAGCATAATCAGCGAAATACGATTTTCGCATCTGTAACTCGTGGATGCACTCACTCAGACAATCGCTGGGGGCAGGCGGGCACCGGAAAAACAGATTGCTGATTTCTCGCACCCCGCTCGCGGATTTTTTGCAAAGCAATCAGGACTTTTCGGAAGACCGCTTGCTGAGTCAGCGGATTTTCGAGAGACCGCCTGTTGAATTTTTTTTTCGCTCTTATCTTTTGCAGATATATTGCTGAATCTCTGAGGAATCGAGAACTCAGCAAGCGGTCTTCCGAAAAGTCCTGATTGCTTTCCAAAAAATCCGCGAGCGGGGTGCGAGAGATCACCAATCTATTTTTCCGGTGCCCGCCTGGCCCCAGCGATTGTTTGAGCATCGACGACTGGTTAGAAGATCATGGACCTACACCATACTCAGATGAAATAGATGGATGTAATCCAATCCCGAAACTAATACTGTAATCGTGATCAGCATGCTCACTCGTTCTGTACTGACATGAGATATCTTTGACTGGGCAGTCGGCTACTTTTTCGCAACCGCCGTAATTCTTGAAACTATGTGGCTTTCTACCCAAATCATGTAACGTTTTATCTACATTCCTGTGCAATGAATTGAGCCTTCTTAGTTGACTTCTTCTTCAGCTTCAGTTGTTTAACCCCAGATGAAAGAGCCAAAAAGGTCTTGTCACCTCATTACTGCAAAATCAATTTAGCTACAAGATAGTTTGTTATAAAAGCATATTTCATGTAGTACTGGGTCCACTTAATCACCGGAAAATAGGTAAAACATCTTATTCGGAAGATACCTGACAGTGGATGATAGAACTAGACTTATTTTATCCTTAGCAAGATGAGTAAAATCGAAGTAGTGACGTGCTCATACTGTAACTGAGTTCATCAAAACGGTATCAAGACGTCCCTATAACAAAGTTTAACGGTGGTAACAACAGATCAGCATGTATATCGAGAGGCAAACATGTACAGGCAGCTCCTATTCGAGGTCGTCGGTATCGTCCAACAAATCTTTGATCTGCAAAAAGTAAACTAGATACCATCCCGACAAATTCAGTTGGATGAAGTAAAACCGTTGACATTTCAGTCAAATTCAAAAATGCTCCCGAATCACTCTCCGCTACTGAACAAACCTCTTCTACCTGTGGTGGAGGCGGCCCGTCTCCCATATATGTCATCATCGGTGGCTGTGACTCTACTGCATCTGCTGCTTCACCAAACATGGCTGCCAACCGCTAAAACCATTAAATTGAGTGTGATCCATTCTTATACATAAGTTTGAGTTTTGTATATTAGGTTGGTCCGAAATTTCGTTGGCCACTTAAAAAGATAACTTCTTTGATCTATGTAAGTTTTTCAATTATAACCAGAAGGCACCCTCTACATAGCAGTCAGTACCTCAGCAGTAAATTAATACGAGAAAGTTCGAGAGTCAAAAGCAAGGAAGAAAGCTCACGGTTGGCAATTTTGAATTAGAGCATTGTTGTTTGATAAAGGAAAATATGCGCATTACTATAATAAAGTACCTTTGCCATCGATTGAAGGCAGTGTCCAAGCAAAGCTGAGCGCATGCTTTTTGCTTGGAAACTGAAGAGGGGATCCTAACTAAAGCACTGCCCAAGCGGCAGTGCAGTTCATTCACGGCTGAGAGATACATCCCCAAGCCTCCGCGCCTGCGCCGTGACCGTAAATCGCGAGTATCTCGGAACGGGTCCCAGCGCGAACGCAGTGTTAATAGGAGCAAAGTTGTTTGCGAGTTACGGTCACGGCGCACGATCTGAGAATTTTGAAAATGGACTTCTCAGCCGTGAATTGATGATGTGCGCTGCCGCTTTAGCAGTGCTTGAGACCCCCTCATCATTTTCCACACGGGAAACCTATGTGCCCAAACTTGCCTGGACACTGCCTTTAAGCAGAGAAAACTCGCGAACCCACTTTTGCAAATTTTGAACAGGCTAGAAAAATCTTATAACGTCACCGCGGAAATCAAAACACTCAAACATGGGTTTTATGATATAGCTAATTGTGGGCATTTCTCTTATCCATGACTTTTCACAATTTTTTGATGGAATTTTTATCAAGACCATCTAATTTAGCAGGCCTGTATCAAACTCATCGAACACTCACATATCTCCGGAATGCAAAGCTTTCAAAAAAAGATCGTGATTCAACACAAACTTTAAGACAAGTGAGCGTTCACGATTCAAATTCAAATTTCGAATTTTCTAGGTAAGCCTAAGGTGCGTTTGGAAACATGAACTCTGATGCTTTCTCTCAAAGACACAAACGGAAGCAGAAAAAAGCCTATTAAGGGAAAACTGCAGCGAATGACACCCGAGCTGCCCGCCGGAATGTTGTGCGAAGTAAAATTGACAAGATATAAACTTGATAGCGTGAAAATTGTTATTCAAGTTTCAAAAAGCAGGCTATAGAAAAGAAAAGTTTTCATATCCTGTACGGTTTGCTCTACCCATACCTTATTCAAAGTTTTCTGGAGATCCCGCCACATATGAGACGCGCGGCGCGTCTGATATGTGGCGGGAGCACGATTGTACAATGGCGAATTTGTACTGGGGCATTTCACCTCGCGGCGCGTGCTCCACGGTGATGACCAGTCCGTGCGGTCAGCGAATCAACTATACGTATGTTTTCACCCTCGATATCGACCCCCTATGTCTTTCCACAACATGACGATTACATGGATTGATGAGGCGCCATCTCGTGAGATTGCGCCACGTTATGGGCGCATCGTTTGGCGTGGCGTGACGCAGGCTTTCCCACGTTCTTCTTGTTGCCAACACCATGCCAAAGATGCGCCCGCAACTTGGCGCAACCACGTAATCGTCAAGTTGGGGAAAGACATAGGGGGTTGATATCGAGGGTACTGGATTGATGAGGCGCCGCCTCGCTTTGAGCTTGCGCCAAGTTGCGGGCGCATCTTAGGAGTGGTGTTGGCAACAAGAAAAACGTGGGAAAGCCTGCGTCACGTCACGCCAAACGATGCGCCCGTAACGTGGCGCAGGCTCGAAGCGAGGCGGCGCCTCACCAATCCAGTAATCCAGGTCACGTTGAGGGAAGACATATGGGTTGATACCAGTGGCGTACCGAGGGGGGGGGGGGCGGGGGGGGGCGCGCGCCCCCCCCCCCCCGAGAATGGGTCGCGAAATTTTTGAAAGTTACTCAAATGTGTTATAAAAATGTGCAGAGGACTTGTTTTTACTTGTAAATAATTAAAATAATTTTTAAAAATTTTTAAAAATTCAAATTAGCCTTGTAAAAAATTTTTTTTCGGGGGCGTGGCTGACGCCACGCCCCCTTTTTCTGAAATTTTGGGGTCAGGGGCCCGGAAAAATTTTGGGAAACATCCCAAAAATTTTTTCGGAGTGCGTGGCTGACGCCACGCACCTTCATTAGAAAAAAATTTTTGTCGCGCCCCCCCCCCCGAGCCGAAATCCTGGGTACGCCACTGGTTGATACCGAGGCTGCGTTTGTATCGGTGGCGGTCTCAAGATGTGAAAGTGACTTGTATACACTTGGGATTGTTGTAAGTGACTTTTATAAGTGCAGAGAACTAGGAATTCATTGGAAATACTCTAAAAGGTAAAGAAATTTCAAGGAAGTGATTAGGGAGCCGCAAAAATTTTGGGACATCTCAGGGAAACTTCAACTTGTTTGACTGACGCCACGCACCTATTTCAAAAACTTTTAATGCGACTCCTGAACGGAAATCCTGGTACCGCCACTGATATGCATGTAGAGTAGGCGCCATTTGTCTACTCACCTCATCGTCTCGCTATTCTACAAAAGCGACACTTAATTTCGTTGAGTGTTGATTCGACGAAAAATAGTCGATCAAGTCAATTTACTAAAAGAATGCAAAGAATATCTCGGCGCTGCCAAATGAGACGTTAGGCCTTCGTGTGCAGTAGCGGGGAGGTGACTCGGCAGATGGTGCCTACACAATACCACTCTCAGAGTGTGCAAAATTTTCCGAAATTCCGCGAAATTTCGGGAATTCGGCGAAATTCCAGGAATTTCGCGAAATCAACGCGAATCACGCAAATGCAAACCGCAAAACCATAACTTCCTTCGGGATGGAAATATTCTGAATCCGCTCAGATAATTGCCGGGGGCAAGCGGCCATGCGAATTTTGAGCAAGCGGGCACCGGAAAAATAGTTCGCTGATTTTTTGTGGTCCGCTTGCAGAAATTTGGAATAATTTTGGCCAATTTTTAGACGAACGCTCGAAGATCTATCGCGATTTTTCTATACATAAGTTGCGGCACAGTGGCTGCATTCTCGCGGATTTTCCGCGAGAACATGCAAAATTATTGAGAGCCGCACGGTCCTTTTTGAAGGACCGCACAGCCCTCAGGTACTTTCCGCTGAAAGAAAGTACCCCAAACTTGGGTAATAAAACCATCGATGGTACCTCTGCCACATAGAGTCTCATCTTTTCTCGGCGTACGCCCGAAACTGCGTAAAAAGAGTCTGAGCGCCTGCTGAAAGTTTGGCCAGCGCTCGCTGAAAGAGATTGTTTGACGAGCGCTTGCAGAAAATTTTGTATTGATGCCCGCTTGCAGAAAACGCAAATACCGCCCGCTGAAGATTTGGCCACGCCCCGAAATCCTGCTGACCGCCTGCAGAAAAGCGCGAGTTTGCGGACCGCCTGCCCCCGGCGATTATCTGAGCGGAAGCAGCATTGTGTTTAACTCGTCAAGGTAAAACTTTTCGTATGCAGCATGTCCTCGATATTCCGTTTCCAGTTTTCTCAAATTCTTCTTTGGAGGTCCTCGTGGATGTAACGCAGCGCCTATCCAACGTAAAAGAAGTCTGTAAGTAGCATTCGATAGTACTTCTTCTGTAGATTACGGAGCGCTAGAGAGCAGCCGCAGATTCCTTTCCAAAAGAGATAAAAGCGCCGGTGAAATCTGAAAAAATCATGTTGTTCTGAATTTTACTCACCATAACCCCAAAATATGAAGCTCTCCTTCTGAGCGGATGTGATTTTCGTAATCAGCAGGTCGGATAACTTCTATGAGCAAGTTTTCCGAAATGTTCGGGTCATTTCATTTTTTCTCGTTTTACCCCACACAAGGCTCGCTCTAAGGCTCGCCGGTCGGTTTTGGTCAAAAAGTTGATGATCTTCGATTGTAAGGAACCTTCGCTTATAGAGGTTCTTATAGAGGTTTTCGGACATGCTGTTCGAAATTTATGGTCTTTGGGAAATAAAGGGTCTTTTCGCAGAGATATGGTGGGGTAACGGTAACGGAGTCACGAAAATTTGTAAATTCGCCTGCACTTCTCGCGTATCTTTCAGAAAACTGACTGCTGCTTGACTGCTTGCTTTTATGTGCCAAAGTTATACTAGGAGCCGTGCTATTGAACGGTGCCTGTCCCAGGCTGCAATCTATGAAAATCGCCAAGTTACGAGCCTACGAAAACACGTCCTTATGAATTTTGCCTAGAATGTAAAGAATGCATACTTCGTCAAAATTCCACCGCGAGTTTTCCTCGAAATTCTGGTTGCAAACATTATGTTATATATCAATATTATGTTCATTTAGCCCAGGGGATCCCGCTTACTGAATATGGCGGTTGCGTGTGCTTCAGCTGCTTATCTGAATATCAAAGCAGTTTCGTAGCCAGAGCTCAGATATATAACCATCAAATCCAATACAGAAGGATCCATTAAACAATGTGAAAAGATTTAGCCAACGTGTTGTACAACCACTCGCGGTGGAATTTCGACGAAGTATGCGATCTTTGCATTCTGGGCTTCATGAGGACGTGTTTCCGTAGGTTCGTAACTTGGCGATTTTCATAGATTGGAGCCTGAGGCAACCACCTTTCAATAGCACGGTTCCTATAACCTTAGCACATAAAAGCAAGCAGTTAAGTTCTCTGGAAGATACGCGAGAAGTGCAGGCGAATTTACAAATTTTCGTGACTCAGTTACAGTTACCTCACCATATCCCCTCAAAAAGACAATTTATTCCCCAAAGACCATGATTTTCGTAAAGAGCGTGTCCGAAAACCTCTATAAGCGGGGTTTCCTAACAATCGAAGATCACCAACATTTTGAACAAAATCCACCGGCGAGCCTTAGAGCGTAAAACGAGAAAATATGAAATAACTCGAACATCTCGGAAAACTTGCTCATAGAGGTTATCCGACCTGCTGATTACGAAAATCACATCCGCTTAGAAAGAGAGCTTCATATTTTAGGGTTAT